AATATTATTTATAGACTTATTATCCTTAAAGGATGTTGTATGTCCTAAATAGGATTCTTGAGGATGACAGTATGGAAATACTAAAGTTTCATGCCAAGAAGCTGTAAACATGCTTGAGAAGATTTAGAAACATTTTGGCTTCAACTAGAAGGTGTCTATGTTGACAAATTATTACGTATCCGTAAGCTCAAAGACGTTACATCAACTCTAAAAAACAAAGAAGTCGTGGTCCTGATCTTACAAGCTAATTAAATGAATTTTGAAAGAGATTTAATAGGTCGCTGCAGTTTCTAAAGAAAGTGTGTATATTAAGCAAAGTATTAAAAACTTGCTTCAAAGACATGCATTGGCATTTACTTGTACAACATATACTGCTACATGCTAACTGTCTCTGAGGCCAGATGCTGTAGAGCTTTGATTCACCATTAATATAGTGTTCGGTCCAAAATCCTGGCCAGTCTCAAACTAGAATTTCCCACAAATGCATCAAGCCATTTGACACATTTGCTTACGAGCTACACACGACCTAACAAATTAGTATTGAAGGTGAATCTAATAGCGAAATTTTACAATGTCCCGATGTATGTCATTTCATTGGATGAAAAGAATTTTAAATGAGCGACCAAGAGTCCAGCAATTAAGAATCTTGTGATCTCAAATGTCGGTTTATAATATAAACTGATGCATACCAAAATTAGATTTATGTAAAGTGATTCAAGCGGTGCAATTCAATAATAATTTTTTATAAAAGAAAACATTACTATGTTTTTTTGTCAAATTAGTTGAATGTACCTTTACACTTACCATCACCATCGCCGTCACCTCCAAACACCATTATTACTATCGTTGAAGTCACCTCCACCCACTATCGAATCATTACCTTTGTCGTCACCACCACTTATGATCATTAATGTTGCCACCACAACCACCCACCATCATCACCGTACGTAGATACCACCACCGCCACCACCGTCACCACCTCCACAAAGTACATTTTCTAACTATTATCTCTCACATATATATTGATGACTCTAGATACACATTAAATTATGTATTGGTATTTCCTTATTCTTTTAGCTATGTTAGTCAAACAAGAAAATTCACAAATTCTAGAAAATAAATTCCATCATTTTCGAATTTCTTGCAAATCTTAAATTTCCTCATCCAAACATATTATTAGGTATTCCAATACTTCCGAATTTCCGACCCAAATTTTTCTAAATGTTCCAAACGTATTCCGATAAAAAAAAAATTAATATACCCATTTTTATAGTTATTTACTCATCAAATTATTTAGTTTGTAATTAATCAACTTTTTTTATTTTATTGTTAGGTTTTGGATACCTTTGGTTCATTGTTTTTATATTTTTTTTAGTACATCGATATTTTTACACTAAGGGGAGGGGGAGTTCGGCTAAGCCACACAATGGGCAGCCTAATTTGGTATCAAATTCGCCAAATCGATTGTTTTTATATTAAACATAAACTTATATATTAAAAAGGATTAGTATACAAGTATACCAAATATTAATTGACATGTGGTGAGCATCCATCTGTGCATTTTAGCTTCTTGGACAGTCATTGTTAGGTGAACTTGTTCAATAAGCAAGCAGCTATATATCTACCATGTGCCCACCACCGTAGCATGAGACCATACTAACCTTAATGCGATATACACTAGCCTTTCTAGATAATCAATGTCAAGTTAACTTCCGAATGGCTAGGACCTTAGTTAAGGGCCAAGTTAGTACAAAATACAAGTATCCTTGTCTTAACCTCGTTTAAAACATTACTTCCATACCCAAACCCTTTGGACTCATTCATAGTATATTATCTCTATAATATAAAGCCAAACTCATGAATGAATTAATCTTACCCTATTATTCATTAATTAAAATGAAGTTGTTACATAATATCCAATATTACGAAATTGGTTTTTAGGGCATAACTCCAACACTGATCCGCTCCAATTCTGAACTTTTGGAACATAATTGAAAACTTTGGTTCCGATCCGATACATCCGAAAATCACCATTAGATGAAAGGTTGCTAACAAAGATCCTTTAAAGATCAAGCCAGTAAACTTGATAGAATTCTAGGCTCTGGCAGTATGCTTAAAGCTGAGTAATAAAATTTCATTAATGAGCAAGGACACGTTCGACCCCAATATCCCCCAAACATCAAGGTAGGCATGTGCTGGCCAACACCCGAGGGTGATGAAGCCATATTAACATGCAAGTAAGTTATGAAGAAAGAACGAGCATAAATAATACACATAAATAATACAACTAATCAAGAATACTTAAGAAGGAATATTATGAAAAAGGTATAAATAAAAGAATGGGTCCTACACCGAGATGACTCAAAGATACCAATGTAGGAGTGCCTTGACGCCGTAATTGTACGCCTTGATTCTAAGTCCTGAAAGGGGCGCAAAACAAAGGATGAGTGGACCAAGTTTATATATAAGTAATACTAAAACAATTTCTCTTCAAACATACTAGCCCTCAGTTTTAGAAAACTCATAGCATAAAATGTAGTAGGTTTTCTGAAAACCCCATCATGCCATAAAACCTTCATAAAACATATATCGTATATAGTGTGCTTAGTAGTGGTATCACAATCGCCCGAAGCCCCTACATCACCTGCCCGAAGGCATATATAAATCTTTCACTCGAAGGCCCTACATCGCCCACGCGAAGGCATGTATAAATCTTCCGTCCAAAAGCCCTACATCACCCGCCCAAAGACATATAAATCTTTCGCCCGAAGGCCTTACATCGCCCGCCCGAAGGCATATATAAATAAATATCCACTAAGTGAACACAGAAAATCATGAACATAATCTTTCCAAAATATATATCATTGGAGCTCAATAACTCAAACATCATATCATAAATCATATTCATAAATATCCCAGTAATGTGAATTCAATAAAGCATGATATTTCATAAAGCGTAAATCTGATAACTCATAAACATTTCATAAAACGTAGTCATAAAATCATGCTTTTTATGTATGCATTTCTAGTAATAAAATCATGCATTTTGGAAGGGATCCACTTACAAAACTTCGTCGCCGAAGAGTCATTCGAACAAGGGAGGACGAAATCATGCACCTAAGCACATAAAGGGATCAATTAGTAAAATCTTACTAAAGTGATTGAATTTGGGAAAACAGAGCGTAGATTTGGAATCAGGGCGTCGAAATAACTTAAAATGGGTCTCGGGCAAATTTCGTAAAAGTAAATGAAAAGTCAACATGAATATTCTTGAGAATATTCTAGGAATATTCTATGGAATATTTCGTTAGAATATTTTGTAACGAAATATTTCGATGAATATTCTATCGGGTCCGGGTGGGTCAGATCTGGGTGGGATCAAGTTGTTGGTTTGGGTTGAGTTGCTGGATTGGGTCTGGTTATTGGATTAAGCCTGGTTGTTGGGTTGGGCCGGGTTGCTGGGTTTGGATTACGGGTCGGGTCGACCTAATTTCAGGCCATGGGTCGGCCGAATTCTGGGTAGGGTTCTAGAGCTCCGTTCAAGCTCATTTCTTCACCATTTTCCACGTTCTAGCTATGAAAATGAAGCTTGGAATGAGGAGAAAAGGTTCTTACCAATTTGGAGTTGTGTGTTGGCCGAAAAACTGCCTGCAAGTCAAGGCATCCCTCGCTGAAAACTGAGTTCGTTATCCCCAAACTGTTTCTGCATCCAACATGTGAAAACAACTTAAAGCCTACCTTAATCTAACCCTAAAATACAACCCATAAGGTCTTAGGGACTTACCTACGTCGGAGGTGGTGAAAAATTGCCTTGGGTTCGTTGGGAAGAAGATGAACAATGGCCTCTGTCACTGTCGAGTTTCCAGAACCTTGGTATGGGCTCGAGATGATGACGTTCAGGTGGTGGTGACAGTGGTTTGCCATCATTGTTTGTTTGTTTGTTTGTGTGGGTCAGTGCCTCGGAGATGAGAGAATAGTGCAGAGGTGAAAGGGAGAGAAAAGAAGAGAGGGAGAAGTGGGGGGGGGGAGATGAGAGAGGATCGAGAGTTTGGGGAAGGGGAAATGACACGGGGCAAGAGGGGATGCGGGTCCCACATGGCACACTAAACAATCCCATAAAAGACAAATATGAAAAATATCTCTCAAACATGAAATTACTACTTTACCCTCGTTCCGAAATTCGTAAAATTCGGGATAGGTTGTTACAAGAATACACATCAAGGAAACATGGTTGAAACTTAACCTAAAAAAACATAATGATCTGTATTGACGATGTATCACATTATATTGACAGAACAACACGTCGTCATATTATGCTAACATAACGATACATCATCACATTATATTACTTTATTTGATCTAATTTCTTTTATATGGTTTAAAGGCCGCTTCTACGAGCGATTTCTGGCTTTGCCACTCACAATACACTATTTATATACTATCAATATGCTTGGGATACATTATCAATATACTATCTATCAGAGTCATGTGCATGCATGATATCCTTAATATGATGGGATACATCGTTAATACAAGTTATGCACAAATCATGGACAACCCAAGTGCGTGGGTGACCGAAACGGTGCATTCTTCAATAGGCACACAATTAGAGCCCTGGGCTTCTCCCACAGCTTGAGAGCTTACGATTTTATGTTCTATTTCACTCCTCGATGCACAAGAAAAGAAATAAGTAATTTATTGGGTAATCAAATGATACATAGTACGATATAAGTAATAAAAATGAGAGCTGTTAAGCTTTTTATCATCCTTGCGTCGAGCCTTAAAATTTTCTTTTTCAAAGCGGATCTTAGTCGAGCCTTAAAATTTTCTTTTTCAAAGCGGATCTTAATCTTTATTTAAAAACGACTGGTAAACCCGGCCCATATAAACTTTTCTTAGGCTTTTTTAATAACAAACCCAGCCTGCTAATATCAAACGCGTCCAAGCCGCGGCTCGACCAAAGTCGGTTTGGCTAAAAGGAGTTCTAATCCGTTTCATAAAATAAGCCAAAATACCCTTAATATCGTCTCGTATTTTCTACGCGCGCCTTCCCACCCCCTCTCTGTAATTTGGGAGTCGAAACCAAGAACCAGAAGCAATGGCTTCTGCAAATTCGGGTCGGATCTTCGCCTGCGTTCTCTGGCTTTTTTTTCTCTCGCTCCCGCTTTCCTCCGCCGTCGAACCCTCCAATGAGCATTCCTTAGGTACTTTCTTTTCAATTCCCCATCAAATTTTACTGCGCTTACAAAATCCAGCTCAACGAAGTTACAAAATCTTGGGCTTTAAGTAAGATAAACAGTAATTTGAATCCCAAAACTGTTTTTTGTTTGGTGTGTTGGGTTTCTGAGAATACCGAGGGAAAATTTGAATCTTTTTGCTACGAATTGATCAAGGATTCGAAAACCCAATTCATTAGGTTTCTTAATTTTTCTGAAGAAGTAAGATTGTGGGAAATTTCAAATTTTGATTTGGGGTGGGATATTCTTTGATTATATCAAATTATTTTTTTTCTGATACAACTACTACATTATAGGTTTTGGATGTATTAGAATGGGTTCTTCTTTTGGGAACAAAAATGTGCCTCCAAGAACACAGCTTTTTCGGAACGTCTTGATAAGGTTGAAAAATGCCATTTAGATTAGTTTGAAGTGTAGGCAGATAGAAATGGCTTATTTCATGTTTATGATTTTGAGTTCTAGAATTCTGTTACTCATGATTATTCTTTTGGTATTGCAGTTATTTCCGAGTCGGATAGGTTACAATTATCTCGTGGCGCGCCAGTAACCAATTCTCCTGGCTCCAAGCCTGGCATTTCAGTGCTGTGTGAAAGAGTTCATATCCGTGGATTGTCAAGGCTTAAAAATATTGGGAAGTTTGCCAACACGGTGAAGGTGAAGGTATCAGGAACAAATTCAAGCACTCGTATACCGACCTTTGAGGTTTGTTTCCACAGGTTAGTCATCAATATTATGGGCCATGTGAGTTTTTATACAACTTGCCTGTCAGACACTCTGCATACAGAACTTAATTAACTGAATGGGAAGAAATTAATTATTGTGCGATATGATACAGTGTCTCTGAGATATCTTTTCTATTGCTGTGAAGTTATTTATGTGTGGAATGATGATTTTTTTTCTTTCTTTACAGAAACACATCTCTTGGGCTAGGGATGTGCCCTCAAAGCCGTTGGCAGAAGGTTCCCAAGGGCTCCTGGTCAAGGTCCATGTCACCTTTTGAGCACCAACTCTTAGATATACGAACACATGGTTCATCCTTAGAGAGCTTGGAGGTGTCCATTGAAGAAGGTAATATTCCTAAGTCTAATGTGCACATGATTTTACCTCTTACTCTAATCCATTTAGTGACCAGTTGATTAATGTGTTCTTTGTTTTGCAGAATTTGTTAAATATCGAACGACGTTTTTGATATTGGGCATAATCATGATGAGCTTGGCGTCCCTCCTGAGCAATTCATTAGTATTTTATTACGGCAGTGGAATGGCAATTGGGGTGGTCCTTGTAATATTGATTGTACTTTTTCAGGTAATGTAGTTGCCGTACTGATGTAATCCTTTTTCTTGATAAGATTGCTGAATGTCCATTGTCCAATGAAGTCCTTACACCATCCAAGATATAACCCTGTATGATGTTTTAATTTTTGTGGTTGTGTACAGGGGATGAAGCTTCTTCCAACTGGTCGGAAGAATTCTCTTGCAATTTTTGTGTACTCATCTGTGGTATGTACCAAAGCTCAGTTAATTTACCTTTCTACACTTTTCATTTACATGATAATGATCGATGTAATTCTCACACTTTATCAGGTTGGTTTGGGATCTTTTCTCCTCAGCTACCTACCTGGGTTATTGCGTACAGTACTCATAGAGATTGGAATCAGCGAAGATATGTATAATCCTGTAAGTTATCTTGAATTATTCTTTTAGTTGTCCAACTATCTGCACCATAAAGAAAAATGCCTTCCTCTTTTTCCATCCAGATTATTTGATTGCATATATCGTCATTTTTGGCCGGAGACCTTTATTTTAGATAAAATCATCCATGTTTTTTTTTTTCTAGTTGTAAGATGTTACCGTGTTTATCTTTTGGTATTGTTGCTGAAGTCTAGCAGGTTTACTCTGCCGATATAGTTATAACTATTAAGTTATTTAAACAACGATAACAATTATGGGGTATATAGCAACATCATTTGATTTCTCAGTGAAAGCTTCCCTTAGAGTTGTGTTTTCATTAAAAATTATGTTATAGGTATTTCAAGTGATATGCATGGAATAATCAATTTACAGCCATCTATTAGGGGGAACAATTTTCCTTGTATCGCATTGACGTTGGCATATAGTTGAATGCTTTGATGAAATATGAACCGGTAAACACCTTTTATATCAAACCTCTCTTTCGAATAAAATATGCTCTCTAATATGCATTTCATTATTTTCTTTTGGGTTTTGATGTACTCTGTATTCTCTTTCAGGTAAAATGTGCTTATAATTCTGCACTACATTTCTCTTACCATCTTGGATTTTAGTTTTATTCAGGTGTGTACTAACTACTAATTGGTGCCACAATCAGAATTCAAGTTTTAATGGCATATAATACCTTAGAGGCTTACAAGCACACACTTGGTTTTTATGCCACATTCTGATAATAGTTATTCTTGTTCTAGTCTTTGTTACGTTATGGTTTTCATCTTGCATCCAAGTTGTCAGTCCCTTAGGCATGTAATAGTTGATAGATCATAATGAAATTGATCTATTCTCAAGATATTCATCAAGTCACACCATTATTCTTTAGGCTAGTTATTGTTCTAGCGGCTTGTATTATATAGAGGTTTTATGTTTTATAAGTTGGAATTAATGCTTCTCTTTCTTTTGGGCGGAAAAAGTTTACAAGTAGACTTCACATTCTTCATTCTTTAAGATACCCTGAAATTGATCTTTTTATTATTATTTAAGTCATTGCTGCGCCTTATTTTATTTTTATTGCGACCTATATACTTAATGATTACAGAGTTTACTGTTGGTAATACTTGGGAAATTCTCTCATAATTTGCAGTTGGCTATATTTCTTCTGGCTTTTATTTTTCTGGCTGGAGCATGGTTGGGCTTCTGGGCAGTCCACAAACTCGTCCTTACAGAAGATGGATCAATCGATATAATGACATCTCAGTTTGTCAATTGGTCCATCAAAATTCTGGGTGCTACTTTGATTTTTCAGGTACGTTAGATAAGTATACATTTCAAATTTTGTCTATCAAAGTTTCACTAATGGTGCTTATATGTACGTCTCGTTATCTGAAAAGGGATTTCATGTATCCTTTGCATTCAGAGTCTGTCGATCACCTACTGGCAACAGAAGCTATAGTATTTGGATTTGTCGTCTCTGCTATACTAAAGAAAATCTTTAGATGGAGATTCCTTCGTCGCGTGTGCAAGATTATGTCTTTCCAATTCTGGAGCTTAGTCATGGCCTTCCAGTATCTGCCAACATTTCCTTCGTCGATATCTACCGGGTAAGTAACCACCATAATATTCCTCAGTCGGCAATCTAAGTAAACAGTAAACACCGAACAACTTTTTTTCTAATACAGCAATATATTTTTATAATTGAAGTGTGTTACATAGGAGTCGTCTCCAAATGTCAATAGTTGCTTAAATTGCGAGTAGTTGTGTTGTGTGCGTGTGAAAAACACAAATGTCAAATGGTTACTCAGTTTCTCACTATTCTGGTAATCAAAAGGACAATGTGATGTGTTATTCTTATGCATGCTGGTACATTGGATTGGTTTTTTGGAGTCCTAGTAACATGTATTAGATGATGTGCAGTATAGCATGTATGTTTCTTAACTTTCTTTGATTTTTGCCATGCTTTTTGGGTTTTGTCATTCATGACATATATGGAATGTTCCTGCAGGAAATCGCTGAAACACCCAAAAAGAACCGCCGCAGATTGGAAATTCCTGATCCTCCGCCTTCTCCGCCTTCTCCACCTTCAGATGCATGGTTATTTCCTTCTACCTTCCACACCACACCTGAAAGGAGAAAATACTCGAAAGAAGAGTGGGACGCGTTCACCAGAGACACAACAACAAAAGCCTTGCAGGAACTTGCTTCTTCTCCTGAGTATCACAGATGGTGCTCCTCAAATGTAGAAAGAATCAGCGTCGCTCCCCGGAGCACTAGAAAAGTTGCTGATCAACCGCGCCACTGGTGGCTCCTTTGGTTGTGGTAAACAAGCAGCTTACAACACCTCCTTTGCGAAGTCAACATGGGCATGGCACATGCAAGAAAAGGCTGCCGTATTTCAAAGTTGAGTTGGAAGAAAATAAAGATGTGTTGAACGGATCTGTAAAATTTGTGGTCTGGACTCATAGAGAGTAGCAGGAACGGTTGCGATTTTGTAAAATTCTTAGTTTTGCGCAGTTGATGTTTTTTGAGCAACCGGCATGGAAATTCTGATTTCATTTTGTTCTAAAAGGAGATTCAGATTCCTTTCAATTGAAAGCCGTTAAAAAGAAACAGTTTCTCCCTTAAGAATGGGGTCATGCGAACGTTGTAAGCTGTTGTTTATGGCAGATATCAGGTTCACACTGAGTTCTACGTGATGAAACAGGGTGAGAGGGTCGAATCACAAAAAAATCCAGAAAAAAAAAAAATTCTGTGAATACCAACACCCTGTTGCAGTCTTATTAGATTAGAAATGTAATTGTGTAAATGTATCTAGGGATATCTTGAATATTCGCTTTAGTAGTTAATATCCTGTTAGAGTTATAATTCTAAAAAGGTAAGGAATTAATCTTCCATACTACTATAAATAAAGGCACAATGAGATTAGATAACACACACCTCACAATTGCACATCTCTCTCTTTCTCTCTGCACCCTTCTCTCTATGGCCTCTATAATTGTTCAGTAAATTATGGCTACAACACATTATTAGCACGCTCTTGACGCTGCGCTAAAGAGAGTTTGATCTTCAATCAGGGGAGTATTACGTTTTAATCATTCTTTTTATGATTAATTTATTATTTTATTGAATTGATCTACATGCTATTGATTCAATTTAATTTTTCTATGTCAAACGTGATACAACGCATTGGAGATGCAATTCCGACTTTTCGAGAATGATCTTCTACAAATTCAAAGGCCTTTGCTAATCAGGTGCTCTTAAAATAAAGGAAGATATTTGAAATGACCATGAAAACATTCCCCATGATGCATGAGCCCCTTACATTTATATTTACCTTTCAATATATATATATATATATAATATATATATATATATATATATATATATATATATATATATATGTTTCATGCATTACGCAATTTTTGCTTTGTGGAATTTGTCTGTCAAAGCATATAAATAAATTAGAAGCAAACCCCAGAAAATTTGAAAAAAAAAAAAATTGAGATTTTTTTTGCGGCATCGCCACACCACCGTGACACCATTTTAGACCACTACGCTAGCTTAAAGCCCAAGTGGGGAAACAATGTTGTATTGACACATGGACAAGGCACACAACCCTTTGGGCTTGTTGCCATATTGGAAACCAACTAGGCTTCGCCCTGGGTTGCATAACAGGCTTGAAGCCCCGGTCCAACCCGAGCCCATAACCCACAAGCCTTTGGCTTGTTGGTACTTGCTACCGCCTCGACCTGCATGTACTGCAGCCAGCCTTGCAGGCTGGGCTTGTCCTGATGCCCAAAGACCTGACCTTACCTTCGGTTGGGCCTCGCGTGTGCTGACCCACAAGCCAGCTTCGGCTGGGCTTGCTCCTATGCACCCTTTGGCCCAAAAACACCAACAGCTTGCTGATAAGCTACCCAATCCCTCGGCCCGTGGCCTGCAGCCACATGTGGGCTACTTAGCAGCCAAACCCGAGGCCCAAAAGCCTCTAGGGCTTTGCCCTACTCACGGTACCCAAACCCAAATGCTATTGGGCTATGGTTTTTCGAATCCAATGCTAATTTTTGGCATTTTAAATAATTTTAACCCGAATGTTATTATTATTTTTACTTCCATGATTGACCCCATTCGGTCCTGATCTATTGAATTTGTTGATGCACAAAACCGGAGGGGTCTTGGAAAAACCTAAATCCGACCGTGAATTTGCAAGAAAGTAAATAACACAAGATGTATCGTGGTTCACCCCAATGTTTGGGCTACGTCCACACTGATATTGTATTTCTCTAAGATGTTGAAGAGGACTGTGAGGGTGAGAGCCCTGCTCTGAATATGAGAAGCCCCCTAATTGTGAGGGTGAGGAGTCCTTTTTATAAACTAAGGGCTCATCACTTATTACATATTTGTCCCTCCATTTATTACATAATTACATTTGAGTCATTCGAGTATTTATACGAGATCTAAATACAGGGGCCCTAAGTATGGTACAAACATAATTAATTAAAAGTGACCTGTTGTCTATTAATCTGATAATTAATCCAAATTATTGACCTGAAGATCACTTTTGGACATTATCGATTCAATAATTTATTTGTATACTTTGAACCGTTGACATCCTTTCATAGTCCTGAAGCTCTCACACTTGAGTTACCGAAGAAACTCAAATCCACTACACTTCAATCAGCATATTGCATTCTGTGTTTCTTGCAAGAACCTTTCTTTTATGAACTAAACGTTCATAAACTAAATTGAACTTGTAGTTTCAAATTTAGTGTCTTTGAAACCCGAAGTTTTCTTAAAACAATACACCCATGAAAACCCGACGTTTTTCATGAAAACCATGTCTTAGAACTCGAATGTTCTAACTTTGATGCTCATGGATGATTCATTCCCATAGCACCAATCACATTCTTGTTCCCTCTAATTCAATGGATTGTCGAACCATCACAAGTTCGATTTCCCTTATTTGGACGTTTCTATCAAAAACCACTTTATGTGGGGTATAAGACGTGAATCTCCAAGAAGCTGAGATACCATTGTAGCCAATAATGGCATGCAAGAGTTGAATAAGCCTCCGCCAAGATCTTCATTCAAAGACTTATACCCACAGAAGTACCTCCTGAACGAAGACCATCTGATCATGCGAGATATTGTCACATCCCAACTCGGGGTCCACCACATCTCAGGCTCGACTTCGCCGTAACACGATATTGTCCGCTTTGAGCCCCGACCACGCTCTCACAGTTTTGTTTTTGGGAACTCACGTGAGCAGAACTTTCCAGTAGGTCACCCATCCTGGGAATGCTCTGGCCCCTTTCTCGCTTAACTTTGGAGTTCCTACGGAACCCGAAGTCAGTGAGCTCTCAAAAGGTCTATTGTTATATAGAGGTGGGCATGTACATATAAGGCATAGATGATCCATTCATTGGGCGATGTGGGATCTAACAATCCACCCCTCTTAGGGGCCCGACGTCCTCGTTGGCACACTTCTGGCCAGGGATTGGCTATGATACCAAATTGTCACATCCCGACCCAAGGTCTACCACATCCCGGGCTCGACTCCGTCGAAACACGATATTGTCCGCTTTGGGCCCAGACCACGCCCTCACGATTTTGTTTCTGGGAACTCATGTGAGCAGAACTTTCTAGTGGGTCACCCATCCTAGGAATGCTTTGGCCCCTTTGTCGCTTAACTTCGGAGTTCCTACGGAACCCGAAGCCAGTGAGCACCTAAAAGGCCTCGTGCTATATGGATGTGGGCATGTACATATAAGGGAGGATCTACTCCCTCGGCGATGTGGGATCTAATAGATATTGCCTGAAGCACACTATGATTACGTCCATGAATTAGTACGATTCTGAAATTTATAAATTCGATCTAATTTTGATTGGAAAATATTTTTCTCGTCCTTCCATTTTTCTAACTCATTCCTAAAGCAGCAGTGTAGAAAACAGAAGTTTATCAAAATATCGGATCTGTTTACTACCACACATGTGAGAGAAAGGTATAGACTCAGTTCGGCTGGAGTCTACCAAGCGATATAGACTTAGTTCGGCAGAAGCCTACCGAATGGTGACGCCTTGCTTTGGCAGGGATGCACCGAAGGACATGCTCTGCTTCGGTAGATATGCATCGAACAAATCCTTTCAACTTCGACTGGAGCCTACCGAATCCAATTTTGGGTATGTCTCTCACAATCCAATTTCGAGTTTGTTTTTACAACATATGGTAGAATTAGGGCCTGCTAAGGTGTGGCATCATGCCCGAAACGTGATCCTTGGCACCTAAGACCTAAAACTTCAAGAATAAGGAAGGGTATTCCCGAACCTCATCCCTGCATAATCTACTTCCATCTCGATGGAATAGATCATTGGTTACGCACCTGTTCATGCCTCTACCAATGTCGTTGAGGAGTACCATTCTTGTAGTCAATATGTGAAACTAATTTTGCTCCACCGAACATCATTGGAATAACGGAATTTTGACATGGATGGCCTTGTTGGCCGAATCCCCTCAGTAAACCATTTTGCTATGTTCTTGGATTCACTTTTGGTGTTTGTTTTAGTTACGGATAATCTTATTGATATTGTCATCGAATACGAGTTAATTGAATCATGTTTCTTGTATACATGTGACCGAATTCAATTAAACACGTGATTAGGTACGAATGTGAGAAAGTTAGTTGTCTGGATGAAAAGTACACTTATGAAGAGTGTATAAAGAAATTTTTGAAGTGTCAACAATAGTTCCTCACTAAAAACCAAATTTATTTATAATTCATACAATTATAATCCAAGAATATTTATAACACCGCGTATTTTATTTTATTTATTTATTTTTATTTTTATTTTTTTGAAAACACCGCGTATTTTATTAGTGTGAAATTTAAGCCCAAATAAAATATGACCAACCAACGGGCGAAAATTGTGAAGTGGTGCATGGTAGTAAACCACAACTTCGGTGTGGGCAGTTCGAACGCGGCTACCGGAGTTCACTCCAGCATTCATTTTTCGATTAGGTCACTCTGTGTGCATTTTTCTCTCCAACCCTTCAATGGCCGCGACGTACACCTCTTTAGGAACCCACAGACGGCTCGCCGCCGTAACCTCCCAGCTAACCTCGCTTCGCCGCTCTTCTCTCACCGTCACTGAAAACCATTGCGGCTGCCTCTGGCGAATTGCGGGAGGCGGAAGGGCAGGGCGGGAATTTCCCTCAAGTGCAGTAATAATGCGTATGGCCCCGTGATCGACGAGAGCGAGAGCGATTGTGAGAACTACAATTGCATGGAGGACGAGCAGTTCGTGCGGTGGTTCCGGGAGGCTTGGCCGTATTTATGGGCCCACCGCGGCAGTACATTCGTTGTGATTATATCGGGTGAAATTGTGTCCAATGGTACTTACTTGGAATCAATTCTCAAGGCAGGTACTCTGCCTTCTAATTTTCTGAACTGGTTGGTTGCTGAGAAATTTTTATATTTGGTCTGTTTGGTTGCTGAGAAATTTTTATATTTGGTCTGTTCGGCTGCTGAGAAAATGAAACAAACAATGTCGTCAGTGGAAGGAAAGATCATATTTTTATTCATTAATGTCATCAGCGGAAGGAAAGATCATATTTTTATTCATGTTCTCTGTTTGTTAGAGCGCTGTGCAGCATTTTAGTTTAAGCAAAGTTCTTTATAATTTATTTCTCTTTGTATTATACTATATGTATTAGTATATATATATTTATATATTTGGGTTTTATCCAGGATATAGCACTTCTTCATCACCTGGGGATCAGGTTTGTTCTTGTTCCTGGACCCCATGTGCAAATTGATGAACTTTTGGCACGAAGAGGTGAGTGTTTTATTGTATGTTCTTGTTATTGTAATTTTCAAATCGATGGGGCTTGTTTGGAATTCACTTATGGGATGGCTAAAAGCGTTTTCTGACAGCCCAAAGTCCTGATTGCATTTGGCAGAAAAACTTAAAAGTGCTTCGGGCTCAGAAAAGCACTTTCTGGAGAAGCACTTGCTAGATGCTTCTTCGAGAAGTACTTCTAAGTGTTTTTCCAGGTTGGATTTGGATTTTTAGTAAACATTTCAACGTGGTTAAAGCAGGTCTAGAAGAAGCACTTAGGAGTACAAGTGCTTTTTAGAGAAGCAATCTCAAACGGAGCCTAAGCATGATATCATGGAGTTGAGCACAAATGTGTTTTTAGTAGTGTTATTGATTTTCATATTGCATATATATATATATATATATTTTTTTTTTTTTGTTGGCATGGATGTTTTAGTTTAGTTAGATTGTTAATCCTTTATGTTCTTGAAGTTGTTGGTTTGTTTAAACCATTTGAAGTGCTATAAGGTTGACACTAAGCAGGTATATGTTAGTTGTTACTTTTCAGGAAAGAAGCCAAAGTTTGTTGGTCAGTACAGGGTAACTGACTCAGATTCCCTAGATGCTGCAAAGCAAGTGGCTGGGGCGATATCTAAGACGATAGAGGCAAAGCTTTCTCCAGGACCCTCCATGTGCAATATTCGTCGACACGGTGACAAGAGTCGTTTGCATGAAGTTGGTGTCAGCGTAGAGAGTGGTAACTTTCTTGCAGCCAAGGTAAGAATCTTACTCTTTCAAAAGTGACATTAAACATTAATTTGTTTTCTTGATTTGTGATTTCTTTTTGGTTGGTACCGAATTCCGTAAAGTACAGCTGCTATTTCGTTTTTCAGAGACGAGGAGTCGTTGCAGGTGTTGATTATGGGGCAACAGGTGAAATCAAGAAAGTTGATGTTTCTCGCATGCGTAAGAGGCTTGATGATGATTGTATTGTGATATTGAGCAACCTGGGTTATTCCAGCTCTGGAGAAACTTTAAATTGCAAGTATGCTAGCATAGTTTCTGTTTCGGTGGTGATTATCTATTTTGTTGATAATTATATGCTGCCGACTCCTTTTGAATATATAGTACCTAAGCTGATTATTTATGCTTTTATATATTTCAGCACGTATGAAGTTGCAACAGCTTGTGCCTTGGCTATCGAAGCAGATAAACTTATCTGCATAATAGATGGTCCAATTCTTGACGAGAGTAGACGCCTTATTCGCTTCTTAACTCTTGAAGAAGCAGACATGTTGATTCGTAGGCGGGCTCAGCAAAGTGAGACAGCTGCTACCTATGTGAAAGCTGTCGATGAAGAACATCTGTCTGGTTTTGGATATGATGATCATAATGCTACTCACCAGAATGGGAGGGCTTTTAAGCAAAATCATACTGCAAGGTTTCACAACGGTGTTGGTTTTGAAAATGGGAATGGATTGTGGACTGGTGAACAAGGTTTTGCTATTGGAGGTCATGAGCGGCTAAGTCGATTAAATGGTTACCTTTCAGAATTGGCTGCTGCGGCCTTTGTTTGCAGGGTAAGCTCATAACAGCCCTTTTTTCCCCCTGGTTTACAAACTTCGTTAAATATTTGTCTGCATAGCTTAAAGTCCCAGCTTCTTTATATGTTGAGTCTGAAGAACCCAGCCAATGGTAGTTTCTTTTTATTGCCAGGGAGGTGTTCAAAGAGTACATCTGTTAGATGGCACTAAAGGGGGCATGTTATTGTTGGAATTGTTTAAAAGAGATGGATTGGGGACAATGGTGGCTAGGTATGCTATTTTTGCAGTAAATGTATCCGTATTTTTGTATACTTTGACGACTTTCTGATGTCAGATTCTAATAAACTTTAATGTGATGATAAGCTATGCTGATGGTCCTAATTGCCAGGCTTCATACAGGATAACTTTTCTAATCACTAGTTCAAAAAATAGTTGGCATTCCAAAAAAGTTATCCTGCACTTCTCCCGAATAGAGAAAAGGAGGGAGGACTGTGACATGACGTTTTTGGAGTGCGAATAACAATTCCCAATATTTTTCTGCCAATGAATTCTCATCATTGCCGGTTAATCATGCTAAGATTGGATACTGTTGAAGTCTAACTTCAAGAGCTTCCTGACATTAATTATGAAAACGGAGAGCAAATAATTGTACCTAACATATGCATAAGTTTTCCTCTATCTATCCACTCACACGTGCATTAAATGTTCGACCTTAGTGACCTGTATGAAGGAACCCGGATGGCTAGGGCATCTGATTTCTCTGCAATAAGACAAATTATACAACCTTTAGAAGCAGCCAGCACATTGGTTCCAAGAAGTGATGAACAGGTTTGTGTTCCCGGTCTTTCTTAATTTTTGTTTTTCAGAACCTTCTATTTTTTACTTGTGATTATTAATTAAAACTGATCTTAATTATTATTTTTTTAACTGAATTTTTGCCAATAGCTACGTGAAGAATTGGATTGCTTCGTTGTGGTGGAAAGAGAAGGTCAAATCATTGCATGTGCTGCTCTTTTCCCTTTCCCAGAGGAGAAATGTGCGGAGGTTGCTGCTATTGCAGTTTCTCCTGATTGCCGCGGTCAAGGGCAGGGTGATAAATTACTTGGTAATATACTATACAAACTTGAATAAGCATCGATATGTCTTTGCTCTTGTTGCTTTCCTCATTTCTTTCTGTCGTTTCAATGGTCATTACTGAGCTTATTTTCAACATGAACCGTCGAAAAGGGTAATTATATTCACAAATCATAATAGCTGATTGCAGAAAAATATGCCAAATTCTACATGAACCTCTTAACCAGGAATGAGTGTTCAAATCACATCATATTTCTGGGCTAAGTTACATATATTTGGACTACATCTTGTTTCTTCCTGTTCTTTTTTCTACTGAACATCTTGAATTCATTTAACCCAAGATGCTTTGAACTGAAATTTGGGATCCAATTAAAAACAAAAGGGATAATTTGATATAATGTATATTGTATATCCATAAACTTTATTATCGTTACAGTTGGATAGTCCGTAGTTTAAGAATTTTGATTTTTTAATATCTGCAGATTACATTGAGAAGAAGGCATCCTCTCTTGGATTAGAAAAGCTTTTCGTGCTCACAACACGCACTGCAGACTGGTTAGTTCCCACTACTTGAACTACATGTATGCTCGTAGAGGTTTCACTAGTTAATGGAGTAATGTTTCTGATTTACTTTGGTTTGGAGCTGAAGATGAAAAGGAACAGCGTAATCTAGTTGAGGTTTTTCGTTGTGGAATCAGTCCAATTTGTTGTGGTCGCGTGAGGGTTAGAAATGCCTATTCCACATATTTCTTGGTGCTTTGTAGGAGTGATTTTTCCGCAATATGTTTTACTTGTTTATAGAGGTCGCACTTGGTGCGATGGCAGGTGCCTTCGTCCATGAGCGGTAGGTCTCGGGTTCGAGACTTGGGAGCAGCCTCTCCATAAATGGGGGTAAGGCTAGCCGACATTCACCTCTCCCAGACCTTGCGTAAAGCGGAAGCCTTGTGCACTGGGTACGATCTTTTTATGTTTTACTTGTTTATAAGCAGAGAAAGGTTCAATGATCTGTCTTGAAGAATGACACCCGTTGTCTATAACACAGGTTTGTGAGACGTGGTTTTTCACAATGTTCAATTGAATCAATACCAGAGAGGCGGCGGACAAAGATCATTCTGTCCCGTAAATCCAAATATTATACCAAGCACTTGTTACCAGACACTAGCGGAATTACTGTTAACAGGGTGTTCACATGAGGTTGAAAATGCTGGCGGCAAATCCTCTCCCCACCGGGTTTAGCTGCTGAATCATGGTCGATACAACTTCAACAATTTCAATCTGGTTCAAGGATCATCCGAGCTCTAAACCGACCATCGTGTTGTCACACTGACGGAATAACGATTTTTTCTTAATAAATGATCGGCGAAGTTGATTTTATGTAATAAATCGATATTTGGAGGTGCTTGCCTGAACCAGGAGCCTATAAAATTTTTGATTTAAAACAAGGTTTGATATGATTCATTAGCTATCGATGACAGTTCAAACCGCCATTCATAAATGGTACATAATGACCATCGAATGTGGGCAACTGACTCTAGCACAACCTTTAATTACCGTCGAATGTAGGCAGCTGTCTGTAACACTAACTTTTGATTTTATACTGTTTTCGAAACAGATAGTCAAGACTCAACACGTAATTTCAAAACCCCGAGGTCCTTGGCGTAACAGGTACCATTCAACCAACAAAGAGACTTGGGGGAAAGAAGAACAAAGGGATTGAGATTCATGCAAAGGAGGGAAACAGAGAGGAGAGGGAGAAGAAAACAATTCACACTGCACCGAATTGTAAGCAAAAAGTACAACGAAATACGACCCCGGGAATACAATAACTGTAAAAATACAATCAACCATAGAGGGAATACAAATGCAGTGTCATTTATGCCAAAGAAATAGGGGGAGATACTTCACAGCATGAATCCCGTTTATTATTGTAGTCGGTGTTTCATTTGGATCAAGTGTGTTTCATTTGGGTCAAGTAACACGTTCAATGAAATACAACTAAGGAAACTGCAAAGCATTGATGCACAACCTCCCTCCTGAGATAGAACCCAGAAACAAAACCATTGAAACAAAATCAACTCTCCTCAGTTTTCGGTAGGCCTTTAAACTTGAAGTTGTCTGCATATGCCTTCACCTGAAACCAGAGCTCAGTTAGAGAAAAAAAGCACCAAACTTCATACAAATAACCATTTGATGCCTACACATTCCGAGAATGCAAAAAGAAGAGAGGATCCCTAATTGCAGAAAAGAAAAGATACAAAGGAAGCTGGTCACCAACTTAAGAAAATTTATATCTCAAGGACACGCAATTCCTCACTACTCCAGTTCTTTAACAAATTCAAGAAAAATTGCCAAATTATACTACTAAACTTCCAATGGACTATGTCCAACAGTTTTGTCAATGCCATCACAACACATTATCTACTCTTCCACACACATAGCTTGTGTAAAGCAGTTTGATCTGTTTTGAGAAGGTAACCATGGCATGAATTGGCAAAACCAAAAGGAGAGAGAACTGTGTAACTTCAATGAAGTACTTGGTTCAGGAAATTATCACTTAGGTAGCTCAAAATTAATAGATTGAAACTATAATATTTACACAAGTCCTTAAGAGTAAGTCTGAGCTTTATTAACAGAGAAGAAAGAAACCAAAAGCTGTGTTCATGAAAATTGAGGATGCATTTATATTCTTATTCCCAAACAAAACCACCGTCTTAATCTCAAATGACAACAGTCTGCTGTATGCACCCTATCCCTAAAACCCAAAATATATTCACAAAAGACCAAAAGATAAAGAAACTGTTATCATATGAGAATGGAAATAGCTTCAGAAAATATGAAGAAAGAATCACATACCCTCAATAATGGTGTTTGCCGCCTTTTAACCTGCAGATAAGTTCAAGAACTGTTGTTAATAGGTCAAAGGGAAGTTATTTTAAGTTTTTAATGTACACTAACGGTTATAGGGCTACTAGTCTTTTGTACCATACTTGACCAATCCCGAAACTACCGAACACCGGTCAACGTCATACCTTCAAGGACCCACTGAGGGGTTCATGTTGAGGCACACCTGCTGAAGTACAAGAGTTTCCCTCCAACCAGGAGGCCAATCACAATGCGACACATGTCAACATTAGAATAAAGCTCATAGAGTCCCACATCGACTGCTGACAAAAGCTAAAAGGAGACTATTCTCCTACAATTAATCCCTAATGTCATTATTGTACTTAAACTAGTCATTAGAACCCACTGATGATAATTATGCTTAAACTTATGTATTTGTGTAAACCCTTCAATGTTAATGAGAACTCATCTACTCTGTAAATGTAGCCAAACTTAGGATGAACCACGTACATCTTGTGTTTGCTTTCCTATCTCTATCTATTTACGTATTATCCTCACTAGGTGATCGGAGCAATCAAGCGAAGGTCACAAACTTGACACTTTACGTTGTTCCAAAGTCTTCATCGATTTTGTGCATCAACATTTGCCGCCGTCTGTGGGAATCGACACAAAAGTCATGTCGGTTCTCTCTTATTTTTTTCATCCCACCACCGTGAAACTCTCACAACCTCCCTCACTCCACCGTGAATTGGTAAAAACCCGAGAACCCAAAACCTCTCTCCTTTCTTTCGTGTTCAATGCCTCCATTTCTCAGAACCAATGCCTAACCTCCAACCCAAACCATCTCAGCGCCGGGAGACCCTCATTTCTGCAAACCCACAGAGCCGCAACCATGGTGGCTCCATCAAAATCAAAACCGGGTCTCACTCCCTCTCAGAAATTCCATCATTTCTTGAATCCTAGAGAGAGTTCAACGAATCCGAGCCCAAATCCCTCAAAATCAAACTAAAAGGGATCTAAAGTGGAGGCCATGGTCAGAAGAATTGTGGAAAGGACGGCAGCTGCTCAAACTCAGGCTGCAATGCGCAGCTGTGACCTCCACAACGCGCAGCTCACAAGGAATCGCCACCACCAACGGAAACTGGAGACTTGGACTATCAGATTCTCACTCAACCCGAGTGGTACCGGTGCTGAGAAGCTCACCACGAGCAGGCCCTGTACCGTCGCTGCCATCTCCATTGTTTGGGGAAAATCCATCGGAGAAGATAAGGACTCCATCTTCTCCAAATTATTACTGTTTATTTAATATTTTTTTATTATTATTTTGTGATATATATGTGTGTGTGTGTGTGTCCCCATTGTCATTATATTAAGATTACATGCTACAATAGTCACATATGCTCAGAACACTTTCCATCATATTTCACTAGTGACCAACATATTTAGGCAATTACTTATGCAATATTTATTCATTGCCTAGTGATATTGTGATGCCCTTAACAATGTCACATATGAAACAACTCATTTACCACACAACTTACATAGTATGACATTATGCTTTTGCCAAATTTTGTGATCGATTTATTGATTATGCACTCATGCTTAAACTATCATTTATTGTCAGATCCGTTGATCAACATTGTTACTGATTAAAGAAACCTATCGACCACTATTGATGAACTTATAGATTGATGAGCCACATGTTTATGGGGACAAAGATTTAGTCCGAACGGTGGTCTCATGTTTGACTAGACACCCGCTTGCTCGGACACTCGCTCATTTGGACACCTATGTGATCGGACACCCGCGAGCTCGGACACCCAATCATTCGGGCACTTACGAGATTGGACACCCACAAACTTGGACACCCTTGAGCTCGGACCTCGACTCACGGACCCAACTTGTGGACCTAACTCAAAGTCCCTACGTATAACCCCAACTCAAAGACCCGACTTGTGGACCCGATCCGTGGACCTGACCCATAGACCCAATATGCGAACCCGAACATGCAGACCCGAGTGATGTCGAGAGTTAACTCATAATGAGCGCAAGCTGACGTCGAGTGCATACTCGCAATGAGAAACGCCACGAGCCGAGTCGCCTCGCAACGAGCACCGCATCCAGTCGAGCAACCGCCTCGCCGCGAGCATTGCCTCTAGCTGAGCAACCTCGCAACGTGTGCTACCTCTAGCTGAGTATTGCTTTACGTTGAGCACCGCCTCATGTCGAGTACTAGTTCCGGACAACATCTAGTCATTTTGGCTCGAACATGGATTGGATTTGAAGTCTCCAGCTAAGAGACTCTCTTGACTGAAGACTTGAGGGACTCCTGTTGTACCATACATTGGGCCTCATGACCTAGCCCATGATGTATGTAGGAGGTGAAGGAAACCCTTATTCTATAAAAGGGATCCTCCACTCTCACTTGAAGGGGAGAAAAGGAGGAAAAAGAAGAGCAAAGAGAGAAAACCCTAGCCTATATAGTCTCCATGTACATTGTAACACATATTTTACATAGTGAAACCATATCGACACCAATGTGGACATAGCCCCAACTTGGGGTGAACCACCATATATCTTTATGTTCTTGTGCGTTTGTGTGATTCACGATCGGATTTACGTTGGTCCAAGATCGACCTGATTTTGTGCATCAACACCACCAAAACGAGATATGCAATTACAACAACATTTTGAGATGTAAGATGGTATCTGCAATTCACTGGATATATGCCTAGTTCTTTCTCCGCCTTTTGGGGAATGAATACATCCCTAGATTGAAAACACACAAGATGAACTTAAGCTCAATAAAGCCAACCCTATAATGGTCAGTTTCTGTTTGTGTTTTACTAGAATATCTAGGACATAATGCGGGAACACTGCATAAAGTCAAGCAAATGCTGGGAAAAACTATAAATTATCTTTAAGTCAAAACACATGAAAATATATTTTTAGCAGCACGAAGAAAATGAACAAAACATACCACATAATCCCAACCATGTCTCTCTGCAAAGGACCTTGCAGCGTCTTCACTGTCAAAACCCAGTGTCGAATCACCGACATGTGCGTATGGGTCCCCAGTGGAAGTCCAGCCCATCAATGGATTCTCCCACCTACAAACATATCATGGAGATGAGCTATTAATCATCCAATTATGCTAATAAAATAATCATTCGATAATTATGAGAGAACAAAAAAAAGTTTATTTCACAGCTCAACTGACAGATGACATGAAATATCCCAATCAAAATCCAAGAGACACCATCTAGCTAAAGCAACACGGTTTTCAGGTTTTATTGTCATTCTAATTACAGTGGACTGCTCAGAAAAGGTTAAAAAATATACAGTGTTATCAATGAAGAGATTCACTGATAGTCCAAGAATTGTTAGCTGGTTATTATAGTTATTTCTTACTTTCACAAAATAAGTAGTTTGGTTTGATATCAAACTTGACAAGAGTAGCTCAAGTGTTCAGAAGGATCAAGCTAAAATTTAACACAAAATCAAAAGCATAAGTATCACTTCAAACGCAACATTCACATTGTTCAACAGAAAATCTCAGTGCACAACATTACACTTAGTAGAAACTAAACAGTATAAAACC